AATATTTTTGTCGATGAAAGATGAATTGAGAGAAAATAAATAAATAAATAAAAAATTAAAACAGATGTTTGTTTGTTTGTTTGTTATGAGAAAATTATCGGGTGAAAAAGGTTACAACAAATTCAATTATGAAAAGGTTTTCCTTTCTATTGACACGATTAAGAAAAAAAAAAAAAATTTTCATTGATGAGAATTTCAAATTGATTTTCTTTTTTTTTTTGATTTATTAGATTTGACTTTGAATCTTTTATAACGTTCGAATCAATTCAGAAACAACAAGATATCTTATTCGTTCAATATACACTGTTAAATTTAATTTAAAGTATATTTGCTTGACTAGTCAAAGGACAAATTTAAAAGGAAACTTTTTTTTTAAAAAAAAAAATAACTGACTTTTCCTTTTTTTTTTAATTTTTTCTTCTTCTTATACTGTTTCATTTACAAAGAAATAAAAAAAAAAAAAACCTTTCAAGCTTAACATAATTACCCGTTGATTTTTTATCCTTTTCTATCTATCACTTTTTTCCTTTTTTTTTTTATTTATTCTTTATCTCTCTCTCTCTCTCTCTCTCTCTCTCTCTTTCACTTTCTTATTCCCTTTTTTTTTTTTTTTTGAAATCTTTGATTAATGTTGGTTTAATTCAATAATAAAAACTTATTCGTTAAATAAAAGTCAAACCTTTTCTTTTTTCTCATTAAGATTCAGTCGGAAAACTTTTTTTCTTTTTTCTTAGTCATTAATAGGTTTACGACATATTTTTCTTATTATTTTTTTTGTTTGTTTGTTTGTTTGTTGCAGGATTAATTGCCGGAGGTGTTGCAACGTTTTTTTCAATAACGCTTACCCTAGTGTTCACATTCTGCTTTTGCGGAAGGAAAAGACGTAGAAAACGTGGCCGTAGAAAAACGGAATTGAAAGGAAGCGTGAGTTTTACGGAACAGGAAAAAAAATTATTAGATGTTAGCATAACAACGACAACGGATCGTCCGTCGAATTCGGAAAGCGTCGAACAATTAAATCAACCGGATATGGAAATGATGGAATCCGCAAGCATACCATTGGAATTGTGCGAACCCGTTCACATAACGATCGAAAGTCACGGAACTAATAATACAAACATGGTTCCATTATCCGTACCATTGACCGTTTTTCCACCTCCTCCAGAATTTTCGACGAGCGTTTTACCCGCGGGAGCTTTCGGAAATATATTTATATCCGTTTCCGTGAGTCAAGAACCGAGTTCCGATACCGTTATTAGATATCCAGATTTATTAGATATACCTCATCGGTCGAAAAATTCATCGGCGAGAGTAAGCGTCGGTGGTGGTGGTGGTGGTGTTGGACCATCGGAAGGAGGATCATTAACGACGTCACAGTCTTACGCCACGTTTCCAAGAAGGCCGAGACCGAAATCCGTTACGGAATCAAATGAACCACAAGTTAGATTGGGTCCAATGTATGATAATATGGGTCCACGTGTTACGGCCGGTGGAAGTTCGACACTTTCTCTACCGGAAGTTGAAGAATCGGAAATTCCGCCACCTCCGCCTCCGCCTCCGCCTCCACTACCGCCATCACTGTGTCTACCACTTTCAGTTGATTATATATCACTATGATTTAGTCACGCAATTGTTTTTTTTTTTTTCTACATTCAACTTTAGATAATAAATAAATAAATAAATATATATATATATAAATAATTTCGTTATTTATTATTATTATTATTACTAGATTTTTTTCTTCTTTCTCTCTTCTGCTATATTTTCGTTCCGTTTTTTTTTTTCACCTTTCCCTTCTCTTTCCCTTTTTTAATTTCAACGAAATTACCAAAACGAAACTTATCAAAACGGAAAATCAAACGGAGGAAAAATTTGATAATAAATTTTAATTCATGTCTTCCCGTGGAATTTGAAGCTTTTCGATTGTCGCTTCGAATCCCGTAATAAATATTTGCGGCCGGGATTTTTTTTTTTTTTTTTTTTTTAATATATATAAGGATTCTTAATAATTCGAAACCGCTCCCCCTTCTCCTCATCCTTTTCGCTTTTCCGAGATAATTTTCAATTTTGTTTTACCCCATAGTAATAATAATAATAATAATAATGAAAATTTAATTTTGGGATTTAAACGTAAAATTCAATAGAAATTTTGGTAATTAATCTAAAAAAATGGGACGAAGGATTAATGATAATGATAATAATAATAATAATAAATAAAATAAAAACGGGAGTAAAAGAGGAGTAAATAAAAAACAAATTTTTATTTATTTATTTTTTTATCACATGATTTTTTTTTAACTGATAACATGCGTCACGTGATAAGTAATTTAAAATTATTAATTATTAATATAAAAAATTTCAAAATTTTTTTTTTTTTTTTAAATTCCAGTATAAATATTTGACGAGGATGAATTTCCTAAAAAAAAAAAAGGTTTATTTATACTGGAGAAAGGAAGAAGGTCGGACGGGAGGGGTAGGAGCAAAGGAGAGCCGGAGGGGGGAAGGGAAAATAAAAATATGATGGGAAATTTATTTTATTTTTATTTTTTTTATTAAATAAATAAAATGTTTAAGAGAAAAATATATATATATATATATATATTTTTTTTTTTGTTTTTTAAATAAAATTATTTTTTTTCAAACTAGAAAGAAATAGAGATAAAAAGAGAGAAAGAGAAAGAGAGTGAGAGTGAGAGAGAAATAAAAGTCAATTTGTGATGAAGGAAAACATAAAAAACAACTCATTTCTGATTACTTTTTATTATTATTAATATTAATATTTGCAAATATTTTTATTATTATTATTATTATTTTTTTTTTCTTTTTAGGGAGTAAAAGGAAAGGGAAAATGTTAATATTGTCGAGGGGTTAAAAGAGGGGGGAGGGGAAATTGAATAAAATAAAATAAAATAAATTATTCGTTTTTTTCTTTTCTTTTCTTTTTTTTTTTTTTTTTTGAAATCATTTATTATTATTATTATTATGGTCACTCTTAAACACGACAAGGCTCTTATTTGTCGGGGTTTTTAAGCATTTATCCCAGGTCTCTACCCGATTCCTTAGGGACAAATACTCGAATATCGGTGGTGCTATTTATAATATTTTCCGAAGAATGTGGGCCGTCCCACATAGTGCGATTTCCTGGATGGTTTCTTCTTTTAGGTTCTTCATAATCTTCTTTAAATTTCCTTTTATTGAATTTGGCATGGCTCCCAATGCTCCCACGATGACCGGAATCGTTTCAGTTTTTGTTCCCCACATCCTGGTTATTTCAATTTCCAAATTTCTGTATTTCAGCCTTTTGTCTGCTTCTTTGGCTGTGGTGTTTTTTTCTGCCGGCACGGATACCTCAATTAACTTACACCATTTTTCCCCATTATGCCTGAGTATGATATCCGGTTTGTTAGCTGGCACAGTTCTATCAGTGTGGATTTGTTGATCATATAGAACTGTGCATGGACCTACTGTCGTAACCGGGCTTGGAATGTGGTTGTACCACTCCTTGGGTAATCCATCCATTCCATATTCTCGGCATATATTCCAATGGAGATATGACATATT